CTCAAAGCACCATATTTCATTGGTGCATGCACTTTTCATTGACCATATAGTTTTAATTGTGTTGGCAAAGTGTGTCGTCTCAGCCACTATGTTTTCTGCGGTTGTTTCTATTAGCACATTCATAGCTCAGTTGGTAGAGCAGAGAACTGTAAGAAGTTCCTCGTATTAAACGCTTTGATGCGAACACCGCTGGTTCAAGTCCAGCTCAAAGCACCATATTTCATTGGTGCATGCACTTTTCATTGACCATGTTATTTTAATTGTTGTGTTAGCCAAGTGTGTTATCTCTGTCACTATGTTTTCTGCGGTTGTGTCTATAAGCACCTTCATAGCTCACTTGGTAGAGCAGAGGACTGTAAGAAGTTCCTCGTATGAAACGCTGTGATGCGAACATCGCTGCTTCAATTCCAGCTCAAAGCACCAGATTTCATTGGTGTATGCCCTTTCATTTACCATTTAGCTTTAATTGTTGTGTTGGCAAAGTGTGTCGTCTCAGCCACTATGTTTTCTGCGGTTTTGTCTATAAGCACCTTCATAGCTCAGTTGGTAGAGCAGAGGACTGTTAGAAGTTCCTCGTATGAAACGCTGTGATGCCAACATTGCTGTTTCAACTCCAGCTCAAAGCACCAGATTTCATTGGTGGATGCACTTTTGAGGTTATTCATTGACCATGTAGCTTTAATTGTTGTGTTGGCAAAGTGTGTCGTCTCAGCCACTATGTTTTCTGCGTTTGTGTATATAAGCACCTTCATAGCTCAGTTGGTAGAGCAGAGGACTGTAAGAAGTTCCTCGTATGAAACACTGCAATGTGAACATCGCTGATTCGACTCAGGCTTAAAGCACCATATATCATTGCTCGATGCACTTTTCAAGTTTTTCATTGTTCATGTAGCTTTAATTGTTGTGTTGGCAAAGTGTGTCGTGCCAGCCACTATGTTTTCTGCGGTTGTGTCTATAAGCACCTTCATAGCTCAGTTCGTACAGCAGAGGACTGTAAGAAGTTCCTCGATTGAAACGCTGTGATGCGAACATCGCTGGTTCAATTCCAGCTCAAAGCACCAGATTTCATTGGTGTATGCACTTTTCATTGACCATGTAGCTTTAATATTTGTGTTGGCAAAGTGTGTTGTCTCAGCCACTATGATTTCTGCGGTTGTGTCTATAAGCACCTTCATAGATCAGTTGGTAGAGCAGAGGACTGTAAGCAGTTCCTCGTATGAAACGCTGTGATGCGAACATCGCTGGTTCAATTCCAGCTTAAAGCACCAGATTTCATTGGTGTATGCCCTTTCATTGACCATTTAGCTTTAATTGTTGTGTCGGCAAAGTGTGTCGTCTCAGCCACTATGTTTTCTGCGGTTGTGTCTATAAGCACCTTCATAGCTCAGTTGGTAGAGCAGAGAACTGTTAGAAGTTCCTCGTATGAAACGCTGTGATGCCAACATTGCTGGTTCAAGTCCAGCTCAAAGCACCAGATTTCATTGGTGGATGCACTTTTGAGGTTATTCATTGACCATGTACCTTTAATTGTTGTGTTGGCAAAGTGTGTCGTCTCAGCCACTATGTTTTCTGCGTTTGTGTATATAAGCACCTTCATAGCTCAGTTGGTAGAGCAGAGGACTGTAAGAAGTTCCTCGTATGAAACGCTGCAATGTGAACATCGCTGGTTCGACTCAGGCTCAAAGCATCATATATCATTGCTGGATGCACTTTTCAAGTTTTTCATTGACCATGTAGCTTTAATTGTTGTGTTGGCAAAGTGTGTCGTGCCAGCCACTATGTTTTCTGCGGTTGTGTCTATAAGCACCTTCATAGCTCAGTTCGTACAGCAGAGGACTGTAAGAAGTTCCTCTGTGAAACGCTGTTATGCGAACATTGCTGGTTCAATTCCAGCTCAAAGCACCAGATTTCATTGGTATATGCACTTTTCATTGACCATGTAGCTTTAATATTTGTGTTGGCAAAGTGTGTTCTCTCAGCCACTATGATTTCTGCGGTTGTGTCTATAAGCACCTTCATAGCTCAGTTGGTAGAGCAGAGCACTGTAAGCAGTTCCTCGTATGAAACGCTGTGATGCGAACATCGCTGGTCCAAGTCCAGCTCAAAGCACCAAATTTCATTGGTGAATGCACTTTTGAAGTTATTCATTGACCATGTAGCTTTAATTGTTGTGTTGGCAAAGTGTGTCGTCTCAGCCACTATGTTTTCTGCGGTTGTGTCTATAAGCACCTTCATAGCTCAGTTGGTAGAGCAGAGGACTGTAAGAAGTTCCTCGTATGAAACGCTGTGATACGAACATCGCTGGTTCAACTTCAGCTCAAAGCACCAGATTTCATTGGTGCATGCACTTTTCATTGACCATGTACCTTTAATTGTTGTGTTGGCAAAGTGTGTTTTCTCAGCCACTATGTTTTCTGCGGCTGTGTCTGTAAGCACCTTCATAGCTCAGTTGGTAGAGCAGCGGACTGTAAGAAGTTCCACTGTGAAACGCTGTTATGCGAACATTGCTGGTTCAACTACAGCTCAAAGCACCAGATTTCATTGGTGCATGCACTTTTCATTGACCATGTACCTTTAATTGTTGTGTTGGCAAAGTGTGTTGTCTCAGCCACTATGTTTTCTGCGGTTGTGTCTATAAGCACCTTCATAGCTCAGTTGGTAGAGCAGAGGACTGTAAGAAGTTCCTCTGTGAAACGCTGTTATGCGAACATTGCTGTTTCAACTCCAGCTCAAAGCACCAGATTTCATTGGTGCATGCACTTTTCATTGACCATGTAGCTTTAATTGTTGTGTTGGCAAAGTGTGTAATCTCACCCACTATGTTTTCTGCGGTTGTGTCTATAAGCACCTTCATAGCTCAGTTGGTAGAGCACCGGACTGTAAGAAGTTCCTCTGTGAAACGCTGTTATGCGAACATTGCTGGTTTGACTCCAGCTCGACGCACCAGATTTCATTGGTGCATGCACTTTTCAAGTTTTTCATTGACCATGTAGCTTTAATTGTTGTGTTGGCAAAGTGTGTTGTCTCAGCCACTATGTTTTCTGCGGTTGTATCTATAAGCACCTTCATAGCTCAGTTGGTAGAGTAGCGGACTGTAAGAAGTTCCTCGTATGAAACGCTGTGATGTGAACATCACTGGTTCAACTTCAGCTCAAAGCACCAGATTTTATTGGTGGATGCATTTTTCAAGCTTTTTCATTGACCATGTAGCTTTAATTGTTGTGTTTGCAAAGTGTGTCGTCTCAGCCACTATGATTTCTGCGGTTGTGTCTATAAGCACCTTCATAGCTCTGTTGGTAGAGCAAACAACTGTAACAACTTCCTCGTATGAAACGCTGTGATGCGAACATCACTGGTTCAACTCCAGCTCAGAGCACCTGATTTCATTGGTGCATGCACTTTTCATTGACCATGTAGTTTTAATTGTTGTATTGGCAAAGTGTGTCGTCTCAGCCACTATGTTTTCTACAGTTGCGTCTATAAGCACCTTCATAGCTCAGTTGGTAGAGCAGAGGAACGTTAGAAGTTCCCTGTATGAAACCCTGTGATTCTAAGGTTGCTGGTTCAATTCCACCTCCAAGCACATGCATTTCATTGGTGTGTGCAATGTTCAACTTCTAATCACAATGAAATTAAGCCAAGCCTTGTCTCTATCTGTCAAATCCTCCAAAATATAAAAACACAAACAAGATAACTTCTTAATTTTCCAACCATCAACTTTTTATTCACTCAGCCTAAAAGTCTTGATTATCAGGTCTTGGGACTTGGCAATGACTGTTGGGTACAAACTGTGAAGCTCTGTTCTGAAGGTAGGACTGGGCTTTTCATTGGCCATGTCAATCAAAAGCCCAGTGAAGAAGTGGGATTTTGTTTAAGGGGTGAATAATGCATGAATACTAAAACTATTTTAAACAGGGAAAATTTTGATACTTAAAAATCCTCAAGTATTAGAACGTTTTTAAGTATCAGAAAGGTTTGAATAAGTTTTACTTTGTTCAAATAATTGAGAAATGTATTATTTTGCATTCTATATTATCACACTATTGAGAGAGGCATTGAACAATATTTCCAAAGACTCAGGAGAAACGTGAAACTAGAAGCGAGGCCTCTGCACTCTGTGGCAAGCTGGACACCCTAGAAATTGCTTTCATGGCACACTTTTGGGATACAATACTGCAGTGGTTCCGAGCCACGAGCCTGCAGTTGCAGAAACATGACATTGACATACACACGGCTACACAGCTTCTCCTTTCACTTTGTGACTTTGGGGCAGCACAGAGAAAAGTTTCGGATTGAAACATTCAATGATCTGACCATGAGCTTGGCAGATGAACTTGTTCAGTAAAAATCATTCATTTCAGAAGAACAAAAATGCTTTCCCAAATGTTTACAAAGCACTCAGACTGTTTTTGACCCTGCCAATAACAAACTGTGAAGGGGAACGGTCATTCTCCAGACTGGCTCGAATAAAAAATGAGCTCAGGATGAAAATGTTGAATTCACTTTCCCTTCTTGCAATAGAATCAGAGTTGTTCGACAGCTTTGATGAGTTAGTGGACGACTTTGCAAGAAGGAAGAGCAGAAAGAAACTTTTATAGATTCCTTAGGTACAGTAGGTTGGTGCGGGGGTGGGGGTTCGTAGTGTGTGTGTGTGTATGTGTGTGTGTATGTGGTGGTGGGGGGGGGGGGTGTCTTGCAAACTCCTGGCCCAGCCCCCCAATAATCCGGCCCTGGTTGGGGAAGGACAACAAGCACCTGTGTCAACGGTAAATCCTCATACTCTCTTAACGCCATTCCCTCTCACAAAGAACTACATTTCCCAACATCCAGCGCGCGGAGCTTGGTAGCGGTGGACGCTTCGCTTGGACGCGGAGCTGCAGCATTTGCACCCCTACAGTGGGTTTGGGAAGCTGTGGAGCCGCTGGATAAGCGTTTGGAAATAATAAGGGAACACACTACAGCGTCTCTCTTCATTGTTATTCTTCTTACGGGCTTTCAATATGGGTAATGGCATCAACAAGGTATGTCTACCCTCTGTTACACGCGACAAGTGTTGAGTTTACGTACGAATACGTGGTCCTCGGCATTTTGAGTGAAATTAAGGAGGTGGTGGTGGTACCTGTCATTGATAGAGCCATTGTCACGGTTAGCCAACAAAGTTTTGAGCACTTTTAATGTTACACTTTTCATTTGGTTTCGTGATGGATCGTCTCTTTCAGCAGAATTTAACATACCTGTTTCACCTCTGTGGTCCTAATGTGGATTTTGAACATAACTGAGACGTTTCTGGAGTTATTTGCCATTTTTCTTGCAGCATGATCCCAACTTTGGCATAGTAAATCTCATCAGCACTTTATATCTTCAGGCTGTTATCTGTCTTCTGTTTTCAGATAGCCTACCATGTCATTAAACCAATTATTCTCTGTTGTCTGATGCTCTGTTTTCCTCTACCTCTGTATATCTGTGTTTATAGGTCCTGCCTGACCTATATTTGGGAAATTTCAAAGGTGTGTCTCAATGCATTTTCAATACTTTGGTATGGATCAGACTCAGGAACTACTCATACTCATTGTTTTCAAATGTGGTTTTGTTTGCCAGATGCAAGAGACCGTGAACAGTTAGCCAGGAACAACATCACACACATCCTGTCCATTCATGACAGCGCGGCTCCAATTCTCCAGGTGAGAGACTCCCCTTGTTCCACATGACATCTTTGTCTTAGGTTACGTCTAAAATTACACATTAATCTTTTAGCAGAGGGGTCAAGAAAATGAGGCTGAGCGGATCTGATTTGCTGGGCCCCTCTTGGTCTGACAGTATACATCACACACACAACTCTGAACAGGCTGCAAACCGGTCTGTCAGGTCATTCAGGATGAGGTTCCCATCATGCTGCCTCCTGAGTGAGCAAACATGTCTCAGTTTTCAGTGAGTTACACCAAGCAGGAAAGTTTGTCACTCGTGATAGTCGGAGGATCATGAGGAACGCCAGTCAACAACAGTTGGTTTGGTCAGTGTCCTGAATTGTTCACTTGTGTGGGCTTGAGAGTAGGCGGTTGTTGTTGCTCAGTCATTGTGGACTGTGCAGTTTTGCTTCATTATTATGTTTCCTAGGTTATTAGTATGGATAAAAAGTGTCTGTGTGAGAAAAAAAAACAGCTTTTGCTCTCTGCTTTTTTATTCAAAACTTAAATACGACTGCAAATCAGCTTAAAACTGCCCTTATTCTCCAACCTACAATAGCACAGCTTGTAATGGCCAGCGGCGACACGAACAGATGAATCAATCTACCACCTGTTGTTTATTGATTAGTGTTCAGTGCATTAGAAGAAGTGGCTGCTGCTGACAGGTAACTAGTCCACTTTGTCCCCCAGGAGATGACCTATCTGTGCATTTCAGCAGCTGACCTGCCCACACAAAACCTGTAAGTACCAAAAAAATGTGCAGCACAGCAACACACACACAAACACGTACAACAATGAAAGGCTGGAGCAGAAAGACAGAGAGAGAGAATACCTCATCCATTTGAGGCTGCACTGTGTGGGCGTCTGAGGTTCATATTCTCAGAGCTAACGTGTAAATGATACACTCTAACTGCATTTTACTGTGGACTTCATGTCTGATGAGATCACAGTCACATTCACCCCTTTGTGTGTAGCATGCGCAGACATGTGCAGCATGCAAACCCAGGGAGGGGTCCTAAATTTGGTGCATGTATCACCGAGGGATTCCCTGACTCAGACACACATTTAAAAACAGTTGCAGATATTTCAAGGCTAAATTCCTGCATCAAGCATCTTTTCCCAGGAAGCACCGCACCCCAGTTTTGCAGCTCAAGCACGATGGTAGGTGTTGTGCCTCTATTTATACCGCCCACCCTACCCCCCCTTAATTTACACACACAAATGCACACTAATGCCCCTGTCGCTCTCTCTGCCCCGGTTAGCTCACACCTCTTACGTCAGAGTGTGAGGTGTTTTAAACCTGCTCCATGAAACATGACTCCAACTCCCTCAAACCTGAGATGAACACGCCCTCATCCTGATCTATCCGGGATAACAAATTAAATGGTATGACAGGCTTAGCGCCAAAAATATACACCCGCCATGTCCAAAAACGCTCACATGTATGTGAACAGTCTGCTGTGAGATGTGTCAGATGTGTCAGTGACAAAATAACAGCGCATAGCCTCAGCGCTCATAATGGTTTAATGTGGCCATGGCCTGTTTTAACAGACTTCTTTTTATCTCTCACAGGACCCAGCACTTTAAACAAAGTATAATGTTCATGCATGAGTCTCGCCTGAAGGGAGAAGGCTGCCTCGTTCACTGGTGAGAACAGCAGAGTTTGTGTATTTTTATCGAAACAAGCTTCACTCACACACTATGAAAACACAATACTCCACTTTAGTAACTTAACTAGCTAGATCTCCCCTATCTATCTTATAATACAGTCACGCTCAAAATCTACAGCTAAAATAAACGTGATCATTCACCATATACCAGAGTGAAGCCATGTGTAACTGCTGCAAAGAAGAGATTAAATGATAAACAAGCAGCCTATTCTTGAACTTCCCAAAAACAGAGTACAGTGACACAGTGGAGCCACATTGTGTTTTTGCAGCATGGTAGCTGACCATATGTTCACAGGGGGGGGAAGTTATATTTGGATAGACAAGAGGGTCTTCTCAGAAACACACTGGAACAAGAGGCTATTTATAAGCGCTGCAGTGCCACTGGGCTCTCTGATAAACATATGGACCGAGTGATTAGGCTGTCAATTTGACATTCTGAGTGTAACTGTAAAATGTGTGTCTAATTAGTTTCTACACTCTAGTCCTCTTAATTTATGAGACACCGTATATTATCTCTCCTCCTGTCACTGTATGAAGCCTGCCTGTTGCTGCCTTAAAAGTACTTGATATACTGAATCTGTATTAATAGTCAAATGCTGAATATTTGAGATATTTTGCAAATTATTGTGCTCCTTGGTTCTGAATCTGGTAATACACATAAAATATATTTTGGGGAATTCTGTGATTCATTTTGCAATTATAAAGTGCAATAATAGGGTGCATATTTGCCATAAACTGTACTTTTGTCTGCCTGCTGTTTTTCATGTTTTACTTAACATCTGTGTCTGCAACAGTTCCCTCCTGAGTCCTTTTTTTGACCATGAATTGCCTGCTACTAAACAGATAGCTTTTGCAAGTGGTGTGAAAACATGGCCATTACACCTCTTTAGCTTCCATCCACTCATTTTGATATACATGCAAATAACATATACATTAAAAAACCTTATTCATTGGGATAAATTCAATATGCAGTGTGTTATTTCCCATTGTTTTAGAGGTTTGAATTAATCTCAGTTAATAAGCCAATTAACTGATTAAATTGTGATTCATTGCGCACACCTTAGAACCTAGAAAAACCGACTGTTGACATCTCTGTTTACATGACTTATATACTTTCCAATTACTATACTATATAAGCGGAATGAACAGGTTTAATTTTCTCCTATAGAAAACCACAGCAACAATAAAATATATGCTCTATATTTGCAAACCAGCATTACATAGTTTATAAAGAGTACTGGGGGATTCCAGTTTTTAATTTGTGTGAACGTAGTGCGGAATGATCGTCAATCTGGGTAAGACGTTTACATGGAGCTTTACCTGGACTACTTTGCATCTGCAGCATTTTTCAATCATTACCATGAAGCCATCAACTGTTAGGTGTCCTTATCTCTCCTCATGCAGTTTGGCGGGTGTGTCGCGCAGTGTCACCTTGGTGATAGCTTACATCATGACAGTGACAGGACTTGGCTGGCAGGAGGCGCTAGCCGCAGTCAGGGTGGCTCGGCCCTGTGCCGGCCCTAACCTTGGCTTTCAGAGGCAGCTTCAGGAGTTTGAGGCTAATCAAGCAGACCAGGTCAGTCAAAGGAAACGAGTGGTGGCAAATTATAGTCCCAGGGTAAAATGAAGGAGAGAGTACACCACCTGTATTCAGCTTTTTGTGAAGTTGTTTGTATTTAACTTTTTTCTTCTCATGTAGTTCAGAGATTGGCTACAGAAGGAGTATAAGGACAACCCCTTCAATGATGAAGCTCATATACGGGACTTGCTTGCTAGAGTACCTAAAGTCAATGGTAAAGAGGACGCAAAGAAGCCGTCTACCCCACCGGGAGATAAGTGTTGAGAGGTATTAATGAAATATTTTGCTGCTCCCCCCTGGATACCACACCTCCATGTGATTCCACAGTTTACCGGACCTCTCGGGATGTCCACTGTGCATTGAAGTGGACTACTAGCAGGATGTTAATCACTGCTGAAATAATTGTCTGCATATCACAGACAAGAACTCTGAATGAGACCATATTTATCTACAGCACATCTTTTTTTAAAAGCAGTGCTTGATGTTTCTGCTGTTGTTGTTTTCTAAATTATGAATGTTGTGAGCCGTGTTTTTGTACTTTGTCATGAAGATTTCATATTGTGAAATAAAAGACGGAAATTCAAGTGTGCAGTAAGCTTGTCAGTAGGTGGGCTGTCATACTGGAGGTGATAAGACACATTCTGTGCTGTTTATGCCTCTGTTTCCTGGTTCTCTTCCTGTTTGTCTAATGTGCAAGGGAGGTCATGCATGGTGACATCAACACACCAAAATGGTTTTCCTTTCACACTCTTTCTTCTCTAATCTCTCTGTAGACTCAAGCTCAGAAAAAGTCAATAATGTGAAATATAGGGAGCTCTTAAAAAGGTGTTTCTTAACTGAAAAATACAGAAAGCGTTTGCGGAGACGGCCACTAGAGGGCGGCAATGCTAAAAAATTAGCCTAAAAATAACAGCTTTGGTAATTTAGTTTTTAATAATTCGGTTTCAGTTCTTTCCCAGACGATGAGTCAACAATGTTGGAGTGAATTATGGTCAGTTTTACCGTGTTAGAGGAAAATACGGTGAATTTATAGACTGAAGAGAAAAACATCTATATCGGGGGGGTATTTTGGGGTGGGTAACGTGCTCAGGTAACTGTTCCACTCTGTGTCAGTCTGCTCAGGGTGTCACGAGAGGGATTCCCCACCACAACGTCGTGTGGGCGACCAGTTTCACAGAAATGTGCGCCCCATAGCTGAACATCTTCTTTTTGAACTTCATAAAAGCCCGACAGGCTCCTCCTCCCCCTTCTCCTCCTCCTCTTCACAATCACAAATCAAGATGTGATATAGTTTAAGACAAGGATACACAGAGCCCGAAAACAGATTTTAGACGAGGAGCTCAAGTGGTCAAAGGTAAGCTGCAGCACCTTCTTTAAAATGAACGATTTTAACGCATATCTGAATTAATGAAAAAAATCAGTGTACCAAAAAAGCGACAGCACTTCACTGTGTATCACAACTGGCAACTAGAAGCTCAAGATGGCATCAGCTCTGTTTCATCATAAGAGAATATAGGCTTATATCTAACTTAAATGGAAAGCTGTGTCATAAAATGTCTGGTTGTACTGTAAAAAAAAACATGCAGTTACATTCATATGAATATTTTTTTTTGAAATAGACAAATTTATGTCGCCTGAGAGCATTATAAACCATCATAAATGTGTTATCTAGTCTCAGCAACCTTACTAATAAAGTAGATATAGACAGTTTTAGTCACACATGTGGAGTACTGACTAGTCCAAGCATCTTTTTACCAAAGTACAATATTATTCAGTTCTAAGCAATTGATTTGTACAGTAACCTTTTTTTTTCAAGGTGGATTTTTTTGTTGTTGAATTGATGCATTTTATTCTGTTAAACTTTTTAAAGAAATTAGCCATTTTTATAGCTCATGTCAGTAAAATTATCATACAAAATGCCATTTAAAGTGAACTACAGCTACAAAACTGCCATACTCTCCACCAAAAATCTGTCTGGTTGTATTTCGTTGTGTAGAGATGAACCTGGATGAAGACAGCAGCCTGTCGGTCAGCTGTGGAAACGGCAAACTAAGGCAGTGGCTGATTGACCAGATTGATAGCAGGAGATATCCTGGCCTGGTTTGGGAGAATGACGAAAAATCCATCTTCAGGATCCCATGGAAACACGCAGGAAAACAAGACTATAACAGAGAAGAAGATGCCGCGTTATTCAAGGTATGATCATAAGAAATAGATCATCATGCTGCACCTGAAACCACTCACTACTGTACTTAAGTAAACATGTTTTCATGCAGTAACTCTTATTTAGCTTTCAAACTCTTTCTTAAGTGCAAATGACCATCTTTGTTGATTCTTTCAGGCATGGGCACTGTTCAAAGGAAAATATAAGGAAGGAGTGGACAAGCCAGACCCCCCAACATGGAAAACCAGACTACGCTGTGCTCTTAACAAGAGCAATGACTTTGATGAGTTAGTGGAGAGAAGTCAGCTGGATATTTCAGAGCCTTACAAAGTTTACAGAATCATTCCAGAAGAAGCCAAAAAAGGTAAATATGATTATAAATGCATTTAGATATTCACCCATGTATGCAGGAAAACATGTTGGTTATGTAAATGATGAAATTAATCTCCAGGGTCCAAACTTTGATACCAAACTGTAAGACCTAAGGTGTGTCTCATTTGCATACACAATATATTGCTGCCTTTCACACAGCATCGCACATTGTTTATAGCTTCATGGCAATATTTTTTTTGCACACACACACGCACCACTGCTGCTGATTCTGATGAGGCAGGAAGCACAAAGGAAGCCAAAGCTCGTACCAAAAAGGCCGTAGTGCTTTTTTTAGAGGGCTACGGTTACTAAGTGCAGGGTGCGCTACACACAACCATACGACCTCCAGCCTTGCATAACAAAGTCTCTACTATCACAGAACAACAACTTTTTGTCACACAAGAGCAGTCCTTGCTATCTTCACTGACAGTTAGCACTCAAATTGCAAGCAGGTTTGAGACTGACATTTGCCTCTCAGGCGTATGTTGCACTTCTTTTTTTTTTTTTTTTGCAAAACACCCATCAGCCGTACTAAAATAGACGGACTTAGTATGTGCAAAAAACAGTGAGAACCTAACAAAATTCACACTTAAGTCTAAATCTGTCAAAATAATCTTATAATCCTGCATTATTGGTTTTGTGCACAGGTATGAAGATGAGCAGCATGGAGGAGAGCTCTTCACATGTAAACACTCATGGCCACATCCCTGCATACACATCTCTCCACAACCAGGTCAGCAGACTGATATTGTGGCTTAGACTGAAACAAGCTAATAAATATACCTGCAGGATCAGCTGTAGTAAAAGTCTTAGATTTAACCACATCTAATTTCAGTGAATATGCATTCGATTCCTCCTCAGGGACCAGGGTTTATGCTCTCTCAGGAAAGAAGAGACTGGAGGGATTACTCAGGGCCTGAGCAACAGCCTCTTCCTCATCCACATCACCCTGGGCCACATGCTGAGGTGCAGTTCAGTCAGAGCCACTACCCGTCTGCGTTCAGTAGGGCCTGGCCTGGGTCCCACTCAGAGAACGGTAAAATGTGCCTGAACTCACGACAACACTAGCTGGTCAGGATTTTAAAACTACATCTACATAATCAGCTGTAAGTCTGGGTGTAACTGTGGTGCTGCAGTGATAAACTTTAGTAAAAGATCTCAAACTTCATCTTTTATATGACGCAGATTTCCTGCTTGCTTTGATAAGTGTAATGCTTTTTTACAGTTACTTTTGTTCCCCTCTTTTTTAAACATAAAATTAAATCTATGTGTGTAAAATGGGATTAAAGTTAATGAAACATGAAATAGCAAAGACACTGCTGATACAAAAAATAGACAGCAGGTTGATGATTTCCTCATGTACGTTTGTGTCTGATCAGTCTTTTAACTGGTGTCTTAAGTCGTCAAAAAATACTATCAGTGGTTATACAAGAATCTAGACTCTAATAAGTTATAATATTAGCACTTTTAAGGCTAGTCCTCATACTCATGAATGTATTAATCCTGGTCATTAATGAACAAAGAAATTAACAGAGAAAAAAGAGCTTGCCTTGTGGCAAAGTTATCACTTGATATGGCTTATTGTAAAAGAAATAAGTGAGCAAGTAATGTTTAGCATTGTTGGTACATCTAATAAGAATCATGATGGCAGCCAAGTTTAAACTGGGTCATATTAAAAGGACATAAATCTAAATTCTAAGGGGGCATATTTAGCAGCTTTGCAACACTGATGTGCTAAAAAAAATAGACACATTTTTCAATATGGCCCGGCTTTGCCAGCAGCTTTAAGATATGCAAATTTCCCACATCCTTTAGATCTGTGTTTACACAGAAAGGAAACATCTCTGCAAAGAAATAGTAAAATTACCTTTAACCCTGAATACTCTCCTGTCTGGCTGGTATTTATTTAACTCTTTTTTTTTTGTGCAGGCTTTCAGCTGTCCTTCCACACCTACTTTTCAGAGTCCCAGCCTCCTGCGTACACATCGGATCAGAATAACACCATCACAGGTATCTCGGGTCATTTTTGGCTCATTGAGAGTTAGGGTCACTCTCATGCTTGTTTTTTTATAGATGCTTTCATCTGTAGATAAGTAAAAAAAGACACAGACCTACTTCCCCTTTTTAAGCTTAGAATCGCAGGTCGATGATAATAGATAAAAAAAGGGGATGGAAAAAAAACTTGGACTGATAATAAATAAAGTTTTCTAAAATGAAGTCTTCTTCAGGATAAAACTGCTTATTTCTTGTCTCTTTCTTCCAGATATCAGCTTGCATGTATCCCTCTACTACAGAGACTCTTTAGTGAAGGAGGTCACCACCACCAGCCCAGAAGGTTGTCGAATCACCTCTTCTTCATCCTCGTCTCCATCCTCCTCTTCCTCCTCCTCTTCTCCATGCCAAGACGACAAGTTTCACAGCGGGGCAGAGGTCATCCTTTTTCCATTCCCGTACCCGGAGTCTCACCGGCAGGGTGCTGAGTTGCTGCCGAACGTCCTGGAGAAGGGGCTGCTTCTTTGGATGACATCTGATGGGTTATACGCCAAACGCCTCTGTCAGGGACGAGTGTACTGGGAAGGACCCCTGGCTCCGTATTCAGATAAACCCAACAAGCTGGAAAAAGAGCAGCCATGTAAACTGTTCGACACCCAGCAATTCCTCATCGGTAAGTCTAGTTGAGTTCACATCTGCAGGTGTAGGAATGATTACTTTAACATCTATGTAATATGTGCTGCAAGATACAGATCTCAGAACTGATTCTAGTGAGGTTTCTGATGTTTAAACCTGTTCAATTCATTTTTTGTCTGAATTTACAAATCATCAAATTTACTCTGACGGACTTTCAGTCTGTACAGCATTTTGAATCCTCCATTTTTTAAAAAGCAACATTATCAAAGGGGATCAATTTCTCATTTCAAGTCCAAGCTCTGTGTTTTAAACTCCATCAAAAGTAAAATAACTAAAAACTTCAACTTTTCATGACATTTTTTTTGTTTGTTTTTTTGTATTGATTTTCAGATGTGGATATAATTTCCCACAGAGGTGCACATTTCTAGTCCTCTGACCACTCAGAGGAGCATCAAAACTACTGTATGTGTCTTATTTCACACTCATTTACACGCTGTTTGTCGAAGCTGCAGCAAACAGTGGGGTGTGAGCCACAATGCTTTATTATAATGAGAGACATCCCGCTCTACCACAAAGACAAAGCCACCCAAGATTGTGAGATAGTGAGGTTTAGAAGAAGCACAGTGCACATTTTTTAACCTATTGTTTTCCCTTATCTTTTGAAATGGAAATACCATTTTTTTGTGTTAAAAATCTAAATTTATAAATGAAATAGTTCATAAACAGTCCGGGACGTGCTCTGAAGAAAAAAGCCTCCAGCCAAACACATAAATAGCAGATGGTTTAGCGAAAATGGGTAAAAAAAGATTAGCAAGAGCTTGAAATTAAGAGCTTAACCAACACATTAAGTCCAAAGCCCAAAATATTTGATTGATTTCTTTATAATTTTTAGTTTGTGATATTACAACCCATATACAAATGTGTGAAAAGATTTTAAATAATGTTCCGCAAATCTGTGATTTTCAGTCTTTATCAGAGAGAATTGAATCTTATCCCCTCTTACTTTTTGCATTATGATGTAGTTTCATTCAAGTGTGGTCAATGTAGCTCTTACTGCTAATTAAACTGTTCAACGATTACAAGAATACACTTTTAGAGCTATTCGCAGAATGACTGTGGTTGTGGTTGTTTTGATAAGACCTGTGTTGATACTAGTGAATGTAATGAAGGCCTAGTTATAGGTATAGCTGTTTTTTGGCAAGTCCCTTTTCACACTATGAAGCTAGTGACATTCACATCGGTGGTCCAATGTGTAGAGTCCCCGCCCACCTCCTGTGGTCACCACAGCATGACAAGGTGGTGTTTTCTGTGTTAATTCACCATGATATTTCCAACACCCTTCATCAGTGGTTTCCAAAACTTGGTTATTAGGAGGGAAAATGTGTGACTGGTTTGGGTTTTTTTAATGGTTCTTCTGTGAATTTTAATGTGGTTTTCTTAAGTGGTGTGATAAGTCTAGCACGTCTGGTTGGGTCTGGGTTTTGTATCTCATTTGGATTTCTTCTCTTGCCGTTCTTACAGAGCTTCAGGATTTTGTTCATAATGGGCGGCACTTGCCGAGACATCAGGTGGTGCTTTGCTTCGGAGACGAGTACCCCGACCCACAGCGCCCGAGGAAGTTGATCACAGCACAGGTATGCATGTCCTAGACTTAACCATGCAAGCTTCGTTTCACATGAATTTGTCAGGTGATTAAAATATCACCTTCTCAGTCAGGCAGGCTTTTACATTTTTGTTGAAAAAATATTGTCAATATTGTCCTTCAAACCTAAGCCCAGTCTGAATATAAAGCCAAAATTATGTTAAGGTTTTCTGTTCACAGATTTTTAATAGTCAGTGGTATAAATTCACACTTGTGACTGTCAAAGACACACCCAGCCTGAAACTTGAGTTGAGTTTCATTCTTTACTTTCCCACTTATTCTTACTTTCTCTTATTTGCTGCCTGTAGCAACATGAAACTGATCTTGTCATTTATAAGAGTGAAGCATGTTCTCTCTAAATAGAGGTGAAGGACAACTACCCTGCCCACAACAAAAGGGGAAACTATCTGTCGCTCTCCCTCAACTTTGTGTTCTGTGGAGGTGCCTCCTCGTCACTTCCTCAGGAAGCCTAAGAAATCTGCTAGACTCTTTATTTTTACCGGACAAACTTAAGAATCTGAGACTAAGCTGCGCAGGTCCTTGTCTTGAACTTTGTTCGCTTAAGCGTTTAACTTCTGATCATCCAGTGGAAACATTTTCTAATAAAAGCAGCCACGGAAGGGGGGCTAAATTTACAAATAATGTTAGCTTTTTCTACTTGAGTTTTATCTCTGGTAGACAAAAAGTGCTAAAATAACGCTTAAATAGTGATTAAATTTAATGTTTTATTCAAGCTGAAGACATCATGTTAGCATTCTAACCTTTGCTTGCTAACTGTAGAACTAGCTGTGTTCCTCTATGGTTGTGCTCTGCCCCAAATGAGTCCTCATTAAGCAGTACTGTGCTGTGATTGGCTGCTAATCATTGCAGAAAAGTTTGACTTGTTTGGGCTTGATGTAAGGATGGTCTTTGAGGAGACAGCAAAAAGCCCCAATTGATTTGGTATTTAAATGCAAACCTCTAACCCCTTTTTAAACATAACCAGGTGTTGATGCTCTGTCTATTTAACAATATTAACCACACACATTGCTTTCCGTGGATACCCCAAATGATGGGTTAGGGTCAAGACAGGATTAGGGTATGAGTGAAAGTATTAAAGCTCTGATCAGAAAGAAGTTTGGCACTCATATTCCAGAGCTGAAGGTGTCAAATAACTGTTTTGTAGTTTGTTCTGCTCTTTGTTTAAAAATCACTAATAGATAATGTATGTGAACCTGATTTTCTTCCAGGTGGAGCCAGTGTTTGCAAAAAAACTGGTCTACTATTATCAGCAGAACCATGGCCACTATCTGCGGGCTTTTGATAACAGCCAGGAGCAGAACACACCTCCAACCATCGACTATCCCGCCCAGAGGCCGCTACAGCACATTCAGGAGTAACAGCACCCTTAGACTTAGCCACACACACACACACACACACACACACACACACACACACACACACACACACACACACACACACACACACACACACACACACACACACACACACACACACACACACACACTGTGCTGCCCTCACCATGCTCTGTGCCTACAGTGTACTGTAAATGATGTCAGAAACTGTCACGGTACAGAGGGGCAGAGATGGGGAAGACCCTGCTGATTTCACTCGCACACCTCTGTGTTGTTCGCGTTATGTCTGTGACTGTGGAGCGGTGTGTTTTCTTTTTCTATTCACTGTGACTGTGTGAAGGATGCGGTTTGAGGGTGGGGGGGACCAGGGGAGCGGGAGGCGACTGAGACAGGAAGTACTAGCACAGGTGCACAGGAAGAATGGCCCCTAAGACGCACACTCATATGTCAAAGGTACAAGAGTATGAATGAATGTTGAGGGTTTTCTAATTGGGACTGGTTGACTGTGAGGTTTTTTGCACTTCTAGCTCTTTGGTAGCTCTCAGAACAATCAAAATATCAATGTGTAACTTAGTTGAGGCAGCTCTGTCTTTGATTAAAATTTTGGTTTCAACACAAATAGGAGGACGCCACAGAGGGAATGTGAGGGACACAGGTCTCCTTACATGGTAGACGAATTGTCAATATTAGCTGTCTTGAATCAAACTTAATTTAAACCCAAGTAAACTTTACTTCTGATCGAGGGTCCTCAGTCAGGAGCCTCACAGTCAGAGCGCACTTGGCCTTAACTTCCCTGACTAAATTTAAACAGTTCCTGGAGAAACCAGCCCATCCCGTAATATGCGAAGAAACTGTTCCTCTTTACCTGAAAGTGGTGACCTTGCAAATGGGAAGCAAAACTACCTTTGTGGTCGGCGTCCAAGCCCTACGAAGGAGGAGCGCTCAGTTTCCCATGCCGAACATCCAGCACAGGCTTTCACTCAAGATGTAACATCCGCAGAAGAGCTATTCGAACAGTCTAACACAAACTTAGAGGAACCTAAATACGCAGCAGTAAAATGAAGTTTAAAAAAGCAGAATTCCCGAAGCCATTGAAATCCCAGTGGCTGGTGCTGCAATAGAGGGGATAAAGATTTATTTTTGTTCTGTAGTCCGGAGTTTCAATCTCTGCATGCACTTCCTTCACACTTCAACCACATCACTTTCACAAAGTCTGACCAAAATCACAGTCTTTTTCTTTGTCTCTTTATTTGTATCTCTGAGCCATAAATTATTTCCCTCGAGTATTGACTTAAACTCCTTGATTCTGTAAAATAGTTTCTTCTACATGACTTCATTTGGAAATGTTTGACATGAACGCTTTACCCTCTTTGAAAACAGCGTTCATGCATGTCTGTTAGTCACACTGTGACTGTCATCAGGAGCTGACATTTATGGACTCAGGTTACAACATGTGACTCCCCCACCTACAACACCAGTGACTCAAACACAGACAAAGCACACCTTTTTCACATCACATTTACAGTTACAGTAAATCATTTGTGAAGAAACCTCGAAATAGGTGTATATACTGGCATTTTGTTCAGTACATCTGATTTATAATGATGTTGATCGAGCAGACTTTGTTTACAAAAAACTGTCACATGGATGAATGATTTGTTTTGAAATAAACTCAGGACTTTCCTACTACTCACGTTTCCTGCGCTTCTGTGTTGCTGAGCTTTTTTTATTTTATTTTTTTGATATGCAAACAAAGGCAAGAAGCATAAGCAATTTTAAGTGAAATACAGTCAAAAGAAAAGAAAAGAAAAGCACATTCACACATTTACTGTGGTGTTTCCCCCATTGCAGGAAGCCACATCATTTTGTTGTCAGGCTTCGGTTGTTCCGTCCCTATTTGTGCCGTTACAATGAGTGACATCGCCTTGGCTCTTGAGCGGCTCTCAAAAGGGCAGTTTAGTCAACCAAGACCCAAAACTTCACAGACAAAAAGGGTTTTGCAGAGAAATGAAACTAACACAAACATTTGACCTGCAACACTTTTTCTTAAACAGTGTAGTTCACGGTTTCATCTTGAGTCTGTATTATCATACAGGATCATTTGTGATAAACTGTAGTATCCATAAAGTCTAAAATGACTAATATGAGCAAGTTGTGCAGATGTGTCAAACTGATAGTTATAAACACTCCAAACACATGGAAAATATCTGTTAGGGGGCTTCAACAAGTTTACTTTGTAAACAATAAACAGCTATATTTATAAACCTGATACCTGATATTTTCAGGTGTTGCATTTACATTGATACTATGAAGCAAAAGCTCATCAACATACTCCCAAAAAGTGAATTTTTCTCACTACATTTACATTATATCTAACATCAAGGCTCTGAGGCAAGAAAAATGAGGGTGAATCCCATAGAAATCTGAGGTTTGATTTGCTGACATCTGCTGGTTATTGAGGCTGCCGCTTAGTCTAAATTCCTCACTCAACTCCTGTCTTCTTTTGCAGCATAAATAATTCCTGTGAACTGTAGATTATATTTTTGATGAGTTAATTAATAAGACAGGAAAAGAGAGAAAATTTAAAAACATATTTAGACGTATGTATACTCTGTCCCTGTGGAATACTTGACCTTTTGACCTCTCTAGGCCTCTGAAAATCATCATATAAGAAAGAAGAGGGTATTATCCTGTCCAGTAAGTGAACTATGTTTACTAAAATTTGCTAACTGATTTCACTTTGTACTGTTTAAAATAAGCATGATGCAAAAATATTCAATACAGCATGTCTACTGTCAAAGGATGGAAAAGCTACCCATACACAACCTGTACATCCTACTTTCTGGTACCTTTTTTGTTGGTGTATGAAGTGTACTTATAGACTGGAATAGATGAACTAGAACGGATAAGAAACTCAGCGTTCAGAAATACTGATGAAAACCTGTATAAGTCTCTTCCCCTGAGAACATACCTGCGGTAATTCTAGACTAAACCCTGAGTCCATGACCCCAGTAGCCTTTGTTTGGGGTCAGGCTCTTGCCCAGAGTTTGATGACAGCTCTGTTTAACCTTTGTCAACTCAGGCTGGTTGTGCTTGTTAACCCTGCTGTAATGAAGGTTATGACCTAAACCTCCTTTTTACAAATCATGACCCCTTAAAATGACACTACAAATCCACCGGTCATCACAGAGAGGCCCATATGCTAAGGATCATGACTGGATTCAAACACACTTTATATACCTATCGTATTTTTAAAGCTATTATCATAACAATACCTTCAATCTTTATCAATCTTTATTCATATAGCACCAATTCACAACACGCATTATTCCAAAACAGCTGGTCCAAACCATATTCTGTTTTTAAAGACCCTATTTAAAGATGGGATAAGATTGAGCCCCATCATGTAAGATCAGACCCACTCCCATCCAATCCTCAACCACATGAGTGTAAAACTTTGCAGCATTTAGCAAAAACAGTGGAGAGTAAAAACTTCCTTTAACAGGCAGAAACTTTGAGCAGAACCAGACTCATGTAAGACAGTCATTTACTACAACTGCGTTGATTTAGAGAGGGGATAGAAGAAGCTTCAGAAAGAGAGAGATGGACAGAGGCGAGACAAATGCACACAGTTAACTCAGCTGTAAAGTAGGCAAGTCCACAATTGCAACAAATGATGGTGCACAGGGACTCCCAGAAAGGCCTGTGGTTAGTGACTCTAATGATGACATGATGATTCAAAGTTGATGGCACAGACACAAGAGGATAGAGAAGGAGAGAAAGGTGCTCAATGTGCCAGTATCCGCTGCTCTCCAAACCTATAACTCACAATGATTGACTCAGGAAGTGACTTACAAAATTGCTCTCTATTATCGGTAAGTAAAATCTTTCTCAGCACAATAAATCAGCTGAAATTGTTTCTCGACGTCTCTGTTTGTAAGAGGCTCTTCTGAAAACAATGTACTCGACCCAGTAGATATTGATGGCAGGAAAGCAATAACAGTTGTAGGATGATAAGGAGCAGCGGATAAATGGAAAACAATCAGATGAGTGGAGACACAAGTGTAAACAGACGAGGAAGAGCTGATAAGCAGAATGATAAGATGGTCTTCCCAGCAAAAAATATTATGATATGATGATGAAACCGGTTGGATTTGAAACTCAAGATGGCTGCATTAAACTCTAAAACAAAAAAAAGCTGACTTTTAACAAAGACTGACAAAAAATGGGAAGAGTTTTAACATCACATGATTTATAGTAACCAAGTAATGATTCCTCCTGCAGTAAAATACATGACCAACAGGTGGTGATGTATCAACTCTTGCTGTAGTCTCAGAGCTGGAGGGAGTTGAAATATGAGGCTTCCTCATGAATAAAGCCCCCCATGATGTTCACACATTCATGTGTATTGAGAGTTGGGGCGGATACAGTAAGCAGTGCTTAACAAATCCTTTGATCACTCTGATTAGCCTTGAGATGTGACACTCTGTGATGCCTCTACCTCAACACACAAGTATAAAATGCATCCATGCAGCTCAACCACATTTAAGCACACATAGACACATAATGTACAAGTTACTGCACATCTTCAAATGGAAGGATGAATTTATGTTATCAAATCATGAATCTTGTTTTCTGTCAACCATTTTTCTATCAAAGAAAGTGTTCAGATTGTTGTACCTTCCTTGTCCATCTCCATGATCACAGATTTGTGGATTTGTGTGACACTGAGGTGATGAGAGTGACAGCTTGTCGATCGTGTTGCGTGAGAGTGACTTGGGTTGTTCTCAGACTCTGTGTGGTCTGGGTGTGTGGTCTCCAGCCGTCGGGCAGGGAGGAGAATGGGAGAGCCCTGTATGTGTGTGTGTGTGTGTGTGTGTGTGTGTGTGTGTATGTGCGTGTGTGTGAGCGTGTATGTGCTCTCATGTTTACTTTATCCAGAGTAAGGTCCAGGCTCTGCGTAGCCACGGCTTCGACTGGAGAGCTCTGCCTTCCGCCACTCAGCAGCCACGGCCTGAAAGATAAACACACACTGCCACCACTCTGACATTGCTCATCTAAAAGATCATTTTTATCCTTGTATACTTATGGTTCCTGAGAGACCTCAGGGTTAGGGGCTCTCAGGCTGGTGTGTACTCTCAGGAACTATATAGAGCATAGAGTAATTATCTAACTGCTTTCCTTTACATTATTGAATTAGACAGTAAAAGAATTCCTCAACCGTACCTACACAATGTACGCAAGGGACATTTGCACTATAAGCCTTTGTTTCTTTCTGGAAATTGTAACTTTAATTTCTAATTATTATCCATACACTCTATGCATATGCACTAAATTGTTGTGCACTTTACGGATGACTTATATTTAATTTAGGCCTGTGAATTCTTGAACCCTGGTCCTTTTTTTACAGGTTAGACATGCGCAAACATTGGATCACTAACTAGCGATAGAAACACTGTTTAATAAGTGTATCTAACTGTGGTAAGAAAAGTTCAGTTTGCATGGACTGACTTTGAAATGGCATGTTTTTGGAAGTGCAGGATGCTTTTTAAGACAATCAAATTTGTAGATGTATTACAAAATAAAATGTCATATTCCTTAAAGGAAACCTTGTCATCTTAAATCTTTCAATGCAGACCTCATACAACCTCTATCATCTTCCCTGCACATTCACATTAAACCAGACAACTCTTCTCTCCTCTCCCACAGTGATCTCAGGGGAAGGCTATGTAATGCAGCACTGCTGAGAACGCGCCATGAAAATATAAATACAACCTCGCAGCATTTCAACCATGTAAATAAACAGGGCCACCCAAATTTCCAATTAGAGTTGGTGTGGAAGGCAGGAAATGGAGCAGACAAGACGAGACCACACCCACTTCACTATCCTGAACTCTCCAGGTCCAGGTCCAAGTCCAAGTCCAGGTCGAGGACATGGATGACTGGCAGTAAAGAAAGGATTAACGCGATTCACAATCCAACTTGAGGCTATTTTTGAACATCTACCGCAAGCTCCATACCTCTGAAGGATCAGACTTACACAAGCTTCCACGAAATTCAGATATGGTCATGGAACAAATGCATGGATCTAATATAAATAACTATGAAATCACTCTAATCTTGGTAATACACCACATTTTTCATTTTCACATTTCTCCACCTCAAGACATTTTCATTTTCTTCATTTTGAGGAACTGGGCTTTACAACAGCTTACCTTATCATTCCCATCAACCTTATCAGGCCATTCCTATTTGGCTGAAATGAGGCGTTCTCGCTGTCCTCCACGTCTTCTTGGAACAGCTAGGCACTGTGATTACGCAGCAAAGCCCTGAGACCACCCAGGAGCTGGGGTCCAGTTGTGTGAGGCAGAGGCAGGGTCCTTGTTGGGATAAGAAAGACAAGCCCTCTCTGAGGAGCGATGGTGCTTTGATAGCGCAGTGAAGTTTGCCTGATAGTAGCGTGATCAAAAGTAAGATAGACCCGCCTGGCTCTCACACTGCTGAGCTCATGTAGCCATTGGGTCAATCAGCAAACGTCACAGGTCTCATTGGATGATATAAACAGACAACAGATTGCAAAAAAAGATGCAGCATGAAAATCACTTTCGCCCCAAGGTGTGGCCACCACTTTTAAAACGTCTTTCAATGACATGCAGAGGACAGAGCTCATGAAGATCAAGTCATTAGAAACAGTTTGAGGTGATTATTTTGCCGCAAGATTAACATACATATGTGGAAGTGTATCCTGCTTAATTGTTCCTGGAAGGCATTGACAAAAATACACAGAAACAGCATCTTCAGAGCAATCCTCCTCCCTCTGTTATCCAGGATTCAGTTTGATTAGTCTGTGACTGCTGAGTCTATTCCCTCACAGGCTGCTGTTGAGGAACCAGACAGTGTAAACAAAGGGCTTGGGAAATCCTCTTTTGCTTTGACTTTGAGCAGCAGAACCTTTCTTTTCTATTTTGACAACATTGTGAAGTTTTTCAGGACACTATAACACATGTATCTGATATTGCATAAGGGCATGCCCTCCTTAAGTACTGAGTGTGTCCAACATATCCTTATTGTTATGCAGATGCAATGATTGACGACAGAAGTGGAACTGAAGTGTAAATGACATCTTAAAAACACTGGCTATTTATTTCTTCAATGAGCAGACTGGATGCCCTCTATGACAGGGATCTTTTTGTGTTTTGAAACCATCATGTTCTGCAAAATGATGCTCATGTGGGCTAATGATGCCTTTGTGCCTTGGGGACTTTCCATGCAAAATTGATAGCAAAGAAATCCATATGCATAAAATGTGTAATAAAATAGGGTTGATAGAGAGTGTTGTGGTGAGCTTATGAAAGTCTTTCAGCAGAATCCAACTGTCAATCAAAAACCCTGATTTTACCATGTTGACAGTTAAACATATTCTTTAGTACTGTGGTTCTCAACTGGTCTCACTCTGGGACCCACATTTTCCCATGGTCCTGAAGTCGCAACCCACTTTATTAGAATTCAAACCAAGCAAATTAATTTTTTTATAATAAAAAAAATCCTTGAAAGACTCAAATCTTTAACACAAATTCACCCGTTTTATTGAGTAAAGTGCATTTCAGAGCACATGAACTGCGGAGGACAACTACTTAAGTTGCATGTACAGAAAATATCAAATATCAAATAAATATCAAATTGCACAAAATAAGCTATTTTTCAAAATAAAAGACATGTCAAACATCAGATGCGCATCAAATATTTACTTTTTTGACCAGCAGTTTGCTGGTCACTTTTGGGTTGGGACCCACCAGTTGAGAACCACTGCTTTGGTACATATTTTACGTCGGAAGCTGCCACAAGGGGGCGCTAAAGATAGGCCAACCACCGATTTTGTCGCTAATTCTTATTTTTCGGCACTTCCGTGTTACTAATTAGCAAACCCCGGTCATTGGTTGAATACAGATCCCGCCAAACCTGCGATGTGACCCGTATGAGAGACCTGTACGCCCAGGCCGCAGGTATTTGGTTGACATGCCAAGCTCAAGACGCCGTTTGGACTCACAAGCTCAGCCTGGATTTGGCAAGTTTTATTCTCAGTCTGGTGTGTCTATATGTGACACCTCTCTGTTATTTGGACCTAAACCACATTGACGGATTTGGGAGTAAACAGCGTTTGGGGATCTCAGTCAAACGAGATGGATAATGAGTGGATCACAACCTGGGTGACTATCAGCGACCAAGGACGCCAAACCAGCTTGCGGAGAACTTCAGGGCGCACAAGATTCAAGGAATGAGCTTCAGACAGGTGAGTAACAACAACACCCAAACTATGAGAGCAATGCAACAAAGGGCTTTATATGTGCGCTTAATGTGGTCAGAAGCTGTGGAGTTCATCATGTTTATACAGTATATCCGTTTTCTGCTTATGGCTGTTTAATTTGTGCTGGCTTGGTGGTTGTTGCACCCGCCGCGGTGTCTTCTGAAAGAAATATGATTTCTGGTTTTGATATTAGATGCAGTGTTGCAGTGCTTTTTCCATTGTTGTAAAGACTGAACCACATTTGCTGACTTCTGCTTGGTGATACTGGAAATATGAGGGAACTACATGAGTAGATTAAGATTGATCATCTGTCAAATAAAGGTTAACCCATGTTTTATTCTCACCAGGGAAAAGGAAACTATGAGTCTGTGAGGGAAGGAGAGGTCAGTCATATTCCTCCTGATAATAGTGGGCCCATAAGCAAGATGGCTTCAGCTCATATTTGAGGTGAATAGGCAGTACATCATCTGTAGTCAAGCAGAGTCCATCAGGCCTCTCACTTGCTCTGCAGTGATCCACAATTTCAGGATTTAGGCTGGCGGACAGCAATCCAACTATAGAAAAACACAATAAGGCAGCATTAATTCGCCCCTGCAATTACATTCTTTGAGGTGTAAAAAAATAAAAAGGACACTGTGAATTTAACGCTAATATTGACCTTCCATTAAATGAGACTTAAAGCTTTCTGTCTTACTTAAATGCTAAGATCTTGGCAAGCCCTCTGGGGAATGTATTTTTAACTGCAGCGCTTTGGTTTTAACAACCTCGGTTACAACAACATGGTGCAGGCCAGTACAGCAGGGAAACACCCTGGTGCTGGATTAAATGGCCTGCTGAACATCAGTGGGAACAACATCAAGGTGTATTTGCCCTGAGATTTTCATTTGCTCTGTGATAATGGAGATAACAGATGAGCTGGTCTGTTAATAGAATATGAATGGAGCTCTTGTACAGTTTTCATATTGCTCGAGTGATTTTGGTTGATGTGAGTTTGCCTCAGAGCGAGGTTTGAGCAGCCATGCTTGGAAAATACTTCCATTTTGAACCTGATGCCAAAGTTTTTGAATATATACACACATTACATCTATTTTGACATCACTTTTATGCAACATTTTTTAGATTATCTCAGAGTCACAAATCATGTCAGTTCTTCTGAAAATTCGGTTGAAGTGTTTAAGGCATGATGTGTGGAAATGGGTAAAATTTGTGATATCTAGTGATCAGATTCCAGTTTACAAATGCTCTCTTGCTCAACGAGATGACAGAAGTTCCTGTGATCCTTCATTTAACAATTGTAAACAACACATTTCTTTCATTGCACAGGGAATTTAAATTAAATATTCAAGCTGGGAAATAAAAAAGATCATAGGGCAGGCCTTGTGTTAAACATATGTATTTAATATATCATGCAGAAATCTATTGAAATAGGACATAGTTGTATAAAAACTTGATTTTGAGAGATTTGAGATTGTTTATTCAATCAAATATGCATACAGTACAATTTTAGACAAGAAATTCCCTATTATTAAAGGAGTAGGTTGAAGCTACTTAGTTTATATGTACCTACCCTCATTCCTTCCTATTCGTTTACCCCTTACATGTCTCTAGTTAATCAGTGTGGCATTTTTAAATATTTGACAGAGCAAGTCCAAATAATGCTATCATTTTTATCACGATAATTGTTGTTATTGCTTTTTTTTTTTTAAACTATGTTTGCATCTTACTGAAACTCTGCATACTCTGTCTACCTGTAACACAGAGGACAGCTTCTTCTGTCCAGCAGGGGGCATGGTTGAACACATGGCTGTCATCCTTTTAAGGACAAATTTTACATTGCCACATTGTACAGTATACTTTGTTATTGGAAAAGGAAATCTTCAAGACTTTCTTAGATTACATATGCAATGTACTGTCAGTGTACACAAATGGGTGCAACAGACAGCATGAGTGTGTGTAGGGTGAGCTCATTGATTTGAATAAGCTGCTCCCTGACACAGTCTTGGCTGTGAGTGAGGGTCTAAGAAAATGCTGCGCTTTGGCTTTCTGGATCGGACAGTATGAGACCTCTGATCCGCCCTCTTTCTGACCTGCTGTGGCATAAACAAAGCATATCAGCTCATTATTAATGCCACTACCTCTTCCTGTGGGCAGTTCATTTATTACAGATACGATAATCCAACATGACTCAGCATGCACATTTTCAAAGTTTCCCTTATTTCTTCCTTGAACAGTAGAGGATTATTTATACTCTTACAGGATACAATTCAGGTCAATCACACTTCTCTGAGCGACCTCAGCTGTTGGCAGATGAAAATGAAAGGAAACATTTTGGCCAAGTGAGAATTTGTAGACATCAAAACAAAAAGAAAAGTCAGGCAAATAAATCAAGAAACATACTTTGACTTTTTAACATGATACAAACTTTATCTTTTGTGTGCAATTGCTGCTTCCAACACAACAGGACAGATCTGAATGAGAAGCAGAGACTCTGTTTCCCAGAGATCCCATCGATCATACTGACTCTGGCTCTCGATGACTTTGTCAGACTCTTTACAGTGTAAACATTGTGTCATGAGGAAGTATTGTTTAAAACTGTTCGACTGTTCCTGTAACTCCTTACCAAAATGAAACTGTTGTGGGACTAGGACATTTTTTTGAGACACTGCAAATAATATTGAGTTTTTCAATAATATATTTGATGGTAAAAAATTCCCCTTTCTTATGTTGTTAGCTTACTAAATACAGGGTAATTTTAAACTTGTTTAAGTTGCACCCTTTTGGTAAATACAATATAATTAACCTTTAAATGGTCTTTGTTAACATAGAGAGTATTATCTATGAACTGTATAGTACAAATACACACACCCAAACTAAAACAAGGACCTAGTTAATCAGAATAGATTTTATTCTGACACAGATGCTTGTTCACTTTTACTCATTTATTATTTTTTTCAGCTAGTTTTAAATAGTTAAGTCTGCTTGTTTCCAGCTTTGATTTCTTTTCTTGTCTTTTTAGTCTTCAGGTGATTTGGTTTGTAAAGGAATTAAAATTACGATTTTACACTGTAGATTTGTTGTCCTAAAGCACAGTCTCACTTATGTTTGATGTCTGTCTTCACCCCCATCTCATTTTCTTTTTGCCATTTAAAACTAAATTTCAGCTTTTTTTTTATCAGGTGGAACATAGGTGGACAGTAATTTATGAGGTAACTACTGTAAGGACAAGTGAGCAGCCTTGGTAAAACCAGGAAACATGGAATTTATGGAAAGTAGAATTTTCACTTAATCATGCCTCCTGATAACAGTGATGTTGCCTTTAAGAAGCTCTTAACATGTGGACATCAGGAATTAGTAATGCTTAAGATAACCCTGGATTTAGGAATTATTTACAAATTAGAGCGGGATTATTGCAGTGAAATCACTCCACCGTACATAAGGATATTTGATAAAATATTGTCCTCCAGGGTGAGATAGTTTTAGGTGCCTTAGTTGAGAGTGAGGCTCATGTTTTGCAGCTCAAACTCTAGAGGGCTCTGTAGTCAGAGTTGAGAGCGCTGTTGTGTCTATATAGCGTGACTGGGCAGAACACAGCTGTCATGAGGTGTAGAAAAGTCTCTCTGCTGCTCTCAGCTGTAAAAACAGTTAGAAAGGAGCCCCACGTATGCACACACAGCACACACACTTCAACACACAGTGACACCTACGAACAAAAACAAAAACACTGAGTAATTCACTGCGTAACAGTGCCTTATACATCCTGATCATGTCATAGATTACTGTATTGAGAGTCTCTTCAGAGAAAGCAGTGCACATAAGAGTACAGCCAGTCTACTGTACACCCAGATGGGATCAGTTACACATCACCCTGCTGTTGTAAACATGTAAGCGGTTTAGTAGTAGCTGGTCTGATTCAGCAGAATGAGGACGAGACTGTGCCAGACAGTTTTACAGTTTTATAGTCCGGAGATCATTTGCTTATCAAAACGAGGTCAAGAATCCGACTGACAGCATGATACAGCAGATCATAAGTAAATCATATAAAATTTATGGAAGGAAAACAGCAAAAAATGAACTCTTATCTTTATGTATTATAAAAGCAGTGTTGGGTTATGACAGGTAACAGTGATGTGGAATAAAACTACAAAAATCTATTTAAGATTTGTGGATTAGAATATACCAGAATACACGCTTTTGAGTGTGTGCAGATTTGTTCACACATAACACTCATGAAAATCTGCAAAAAGTAACACTCTAAAAAGGGCAGATGTGGTGCAGTCGAACAGTGTGTTGTCTCTCAATAAGACACTCTGCAGTCCAGTGCAAGGCTCCTGCAGTTTACATGCCTGGCTTGCATGTTCTGAAGGCGTATGAATGATTGGATTCAGCCTCCACCACCTCAATCTGTATATGGATACGTGTGTGGAGGAGTTTGAAAGTATAAATGTGACATAGTGTAAAAGCACCTTTTGTAATTGATCTTACTTTTAATTGTTATCAGAATGATTAGTTATCTTTGACATACCCAAGTCTGAAATCAACTCTGACACTGGATACTATTAGAAAAAACACAGAGGGATTTCGGTATCAGCAGCTCTCTTAAAGAGTAATTGCTCAAATACTAAGTGTGTGTTTTCTGAACCTAAGATAAATGTTGTATTTGCTAACACCAGCTTGTCCCTGGTCCAACAAGGGTGTAGGTGCCGTACTGCACACAATGAAAAAAGTCTATCCAGGACATTCCATCATGTTATAACGCAGATACTGTTTCACCATTCATTTTTTCCAAACTCTGAGTGACTCCTTGATAACTCTGTGGTAACACATACACTTAAAGTTTAACCAGGTACAGCCCATCAATCAAGTCTGGGGTGGATTAGCGAGGCTGTCTGACATTATCATAAAGAGAGAAGGAGAGGAAAAAGGTGGCCATATCACTTATCATCTGCTTGTTATCTCTCCTGTTGTGTGAACACTGATAAAGCTGGTGCAGGGGCAGTCTCAGACTGTCTGAAGGACCATTGCATGGGGCCAGGCCCCAGGGTGGAAATAGTCACTGTGCATACTGTATGTGGGGGCGTGGTTCAAACACTTAAATTTGTTAAGTTATTGCTTCTGTTGATTATTTCAGTGTAATAAATGAAAAATTTCCTCAAGCAAACCTTCCCAAAATGATTAATAAAGGCTATTAAATCTAATCTAAATCCATAGGATTAATACTGAGGTACACATTGACACTATAATGAATAATCAGCAATATAGATTTAGGGGCAAATACTTTTTGAACCCATGCCACACTGTTTCCTCCTATGGAAAGGAACATAGATCGTATAAAATATGGACAAAGTCTCTGTAATGTCACCCACTGGTTGCTGAAAAGGCATGGTGAAGCCCAAACATGGCGGTCACTATTGTAAATGCTGACTCCACCTAACTTCAGCTGATCTAGAAAATAGCAAATAGGTGGAGCTGATATGGGCCAAATGAATCAAGGTTGCATGCGAAAAGGCACCCTCCTGTCACTCAAAGTAACTGCACCCCGAGTAAAGTGCTTTACCCTGGTATAATAAAAATTGGTGATTTATATTAAAAATTCACACTTGGAAATATCAAATTAAGTACTGTGACCAAAACTTTTAAATAACAAGGATGCAAAAAATCTAAATTCTGTCAAATTTGGCATCTTAACATGGTCGCTGATGGAATTTTCTCAGTTTTCAGGGCCAGCCTCATGTGGACACTTGAGGAACTGCAGGTTTTGTGCGTATAGTACATATTGGAGAGAATTAGCATTCATTTGATCGGTTTAAGCCAGTCATATAATCTTTGTTCATTTTTTAAAAAATAATATCTTTCCCGTCATCTTTTTGTAAAACTTAGCAGAAAACTTTGGTAATGCGTTTAAGAGCCCACACAATTCACTTCTGAGGCTGTCTAATGGAACTGGGCCAATGAGTGGGGTCTATAATGGATCATACATGAGACCACCCTCTTCTCCGGCTACATTCCTGTTTGAGGAAAGCTGCACATGTAAGCCTTGTGTGAAGCCAGACGCAGGTTTGTTTATGTCCTTAAGCCCACATCGCGTGCCAGACAGGAGTCACCGGTGTCAACACCGATCCCAAAGCACAGAATTCCCTTTCATAGAGACATTAGTCATGACTGTTTACTTTTGGCACTGTCATTACTTTGTGTCTTACTCATCAGTCAGCTTATTAAGTAAGCTCTGAAATCTCCAGAAGAATAACACGGAGGAATCTCAGGGCTGTGTGTAAATGTGTGCTTCGCTGCTTCTCCTTATACTGTTTAGATACGGGCCTCACCCTAACTGACAGCTTTCATTCAGCTAATGCTGCTTTTATTGTGAAACTCTTGGGCTGTCAGCACTGAAGGCATGTCTGTGTCCAGGTGATAGAAAGGTTTAATCTGCTGAACTGACATGCAAACTTCATGTAGGGTATCAAGAATCTTACAAAACGTGCACACCTTTAATTTTTAAATTCTTGTGTTTTTCCTAAAGATAAATCAACTGACATACTAAATATGACTTTGCATGCTAAACAGGTGTGTTGAAAGCTTTCACACTTTGCCAAAATCATAATGAGAAGGTGTTACTACATTTAACTTTTATCTCTGGTTGCCTAGCAGCATTCCACTGTGTACGTATACAAACCTGGTCAAAAACAGTAATAAAACAATGCTCATTGCTCTTGCAGAGCAATGATTTCAGTTTCCAAAGAGTGATTATTATAAGAGCAGCTTCAGAACAGGAAAATAAAACAACCTGCTTTTTACTGCAAAGGTTTTGTAAAACAAATCTCTTTGATATCAAGTACTGGTAAACCCTCTTGCTAAGACACTCAACTACCTTTACCTTGAGACAAGACCCCTCTGCTTCACGTTGCTCACCTCTGGGGACTCTAATTCTCATCAGCACATACCCGCTGAGCAGTGTCCTTTGCATTGAGCTAGCTGTCTCTGCTACAATGACATTTGCTGGAGGCCTGCAGAAGCCATATGTTAGGTAGTGCGCTTGCTGTTGATCAGCTCACCTGTAGTATTTCTGCTGCCTTGTGTTTCTAGATCCTACCGTTTTGCTCTCCACAGGACTACTTTCCCGCTTTTGCCAAAATACCATTGGACATTATCACTTGTACTATACAAACTAGGACTGTGATTGATCAGATTTTAATTTTGATTAGGATTATGGCCCATACCTGCCAACATTTCCCGTTTTCTCTTGGACTCTCCTGTATTTCAGATCTATCTTTCGCCCACCTCCCGTATTGTGATTTCTCCTGGGAATCTCCCATAGTCAGCATGGTCCGCATTCATTCATAAATCGGACCACTATATTTGTCCAAAGTTGCCAGGTTTCCAGACAGCCAAAGATTGTCCTGTGTTTCTGCTGAGCCTCACAGACACTAGATTGATACTTTTACTTTACAATTTGGGA